TCCAAACCTTAAACTCAACATATAGCAACATCTGTTCCCACAAATTCTTTGTCGTTCCTAACCGATAGCTGCCCAAAATATCTACAGCACTAGGCCAAGGAAACAATGATAGTCGCCACGGCTATGAAAATCGCAATCACCAAAATTTATATTCCAGTCAGAATTAGTCCACAGGTGTTTATGCCCTTCCTGCTGGATGTGGAAAAGTATACATCAGAGAAACATCCGCAGCCCTAAACACGTTTGAACGACAACATTTATGCTAGTAATGGGAAAGCCTGAACAACGCCAAAAGATGCGATAACCAAGTTTTCCAATGGGCAATGGAGAACAATATGATGTTCAATGAAGACAAATTCCAACTACTCCGTTATGGAAAACTGGAGATAACTAGAACTGAGTGTATCTACAAACGCTGATCATACAATAGAGCGGAAAAAGTAATGTGAAGGACCTGGGAGTGGTAATGTTTGAAGATTTCACTTTCAAGGATCACAACTGTGCCACTATCTGCGAGGAAACTGATAGGATGGATAATGGGAACATTCAAGACCAGATACACCAAGCCAATGATGATCCTTTTTAAATCACCATATTTCTAGGCTGGAATACTGCTGTACATTAACATCCCCATTCAAGGCAGGTGAAATTGCAGAGCTAGAGAAGGTACAGAGAACCTTTACTGCACGTATAAGTTCCATCAAACGCCTTGACTTGTACTAACTAGAGCGCAAGCGAGAGATGTATCGTAATCTACACCTGGAAGATTCTGGAGGGACTGGTCCCTAATATGCACACAGCAATCACTCCATACGAAAGCAAAAGACTTGACAGGTGATGCAACATGTCCCCAGTGAAAAGTAGGGGCGTCACTGGTACACTAAGAGAAAACACAATAAGCGTCCGGGGCCCAAGACTGTTCAACAGCCTCCCACCAGCAGTTTACCTGGAGTTTACCTGGAGAGAGTTTCGGGGGTCAACGCCCCCGCGGCCCGGTCTGTGACCAGGCCTCCTGGTGGATCAGCCCCTGATCAACCAGGCTGTTGCTGCTGGCTGCACGCAAACCAACGTACGAGCCACAGCCCTCGTTGTCTTCAAGAGGGAGCTGGACAGATGCCTAAAGAAGGTGCCAGATCAGCCGGGCTGTGGTTCGTACGTTGGATTACGTGCGGCCAGCAGTAACAGCCTCGTTGACCAGGCCCCGATCCACCGGGAGGCCTGGTCGTGGACCGGGCCGCGGGGACGTTGATCCCCGGAATGCCCTCCAGGTAGACCTCACTACCTCTCCCCCTACCCTAGTCTACCTCACCACCTCTCCCCCTACCCTCCCCTCCCCACCTCTCCCCCAACCCTCCCCTCCCCACCTCTCCCCCTACCCTAGTCTACCTCACCACCTCCCCCCCTACCCTAGTCTACCGCATCACCTCTCTCCCTACCCTAGTCTACCTCACCACCTCTCTCCCTACCCTAGTCTACCTCACCACCTCTCCCCCAACCCTAGTCTACCTCGCCGCCTCCTCTCCCTACCCTAGTCTAGTCTACCTCGCCTCCTCTCTCCCTACCCTAGTCTAGTCCACCTCGCCTCCTCTCTCCCTACCCTAGTCTAGTCTACCTCGCCTCCTCTCTCCCTACCCTAGTCTACCTCGCCTCCTCTCTCCCTACCCTAGTCTAGTCCACCTCGCCTCCTCTCTCCCTACCCTAGTCTAGTCTACCTCGCCTCCTCTCTCCCTACCCTAGTCTACCTCGCCTCCTCTCTCCCTACCCTAGTCTACCTCGCCTCCTCTTCTCCCTACCCTAGTCTACCTCGCCTCCTCTCTCCCTACCCTAGTCTACCTCGCCTCCTCTCTCCCTACCCTAGTCTACCTCGCCTCCTCTCTCCCTACCCTAGTCTACCTCGCCTCCTCTCTCCCTACCCTAGTCTACCTCGCCTCCTCTCTCCCTACCCTAGTCTACCTCGCCTCCTCTCTCCCTACCCTAGTCTACCTCGCCTCCTCTCTCCCTACCCTAGTCTACCTCGCCTCCTCTCTCCCTACCCTAGTCTACCTCGCCTCCTCTCTCCCTACCCTAGTCTACCTCGCCTCCTCTCTCCCTACCCTAGTCTACCTCGCCTCCTCTCTCCCTACCCTAGTTACTCGCCTCCTCTTCCTCCCTGTCTCCCTCCCCTCTTCCTCCCTACCCTAGTCTACCTCGCCTCCTCTCTCCCTACCCTAGTCTACCTCGCCTCCCTCTCTCTCCTAGTCTACTCGCCCCTTTCCTACCCTAGTCTCCCTGCCTCCTCTTCCCTACCTAGTCTACCTCACCTCCTCTTCCCTACCCTAGTCTACCTCACCTCTTCCTACCTAGTCTACCTCGCCTCTCTCCCTACCCTAGTCTACCTCACCTCTCCCTACCCTAGTCTACCTCACCTCTCTCCCTACCCTTGTCTACCTCACCTCCTCTCTCCCTACCCTAGTCTACCTCACCTCTCCCTACCCTTATTCCTTATCCTCATATCAGACATAAACAGAGATATACACCACAGCACCGTATCATCCTTTGCGGATGATACTAGGATCTGCATGAGGCTGTCATCTGCTGAGGACGCGGTTAACCTCCAAGAAGATATAAACAAAGTTTTCCAGTGGGCCACGGTAAACAATATGATGTTCAATGAGGACAAATTCCAACTACTCCGTTATGGAAAACTGGAGGAGATAATAACTAGAACAGAGTATACTACTGACTCCGGCCATACAATAGAGCGGAAAAATAATGTAAGGGACCTGGAGTAGTAATGTCTGAGGATCTCACTTTCAAGGATTTACAACAGTGCCACGATCGCACGTGCAAAGAAAATGATAGGATGGATAATGAGAACTTTCAAAACGAGAGATGCAAGCCCATGATGATCCTTTTCAAATCACTTGTTCTCTCTAGGTGGAATACTGCTGTACATTAACATCTCCATACAAAGCAGGTAAAATCGCAGATCTAGGGGGTGTACAGAGATCCTTACCGCACGTATAAGTTCTGTCAAGCACCTTAACTACTGGGAACGCTTGAAAGCACTTGACTTGTACTCGTTGGAACGCAGGAGGGAGAGATAATATCATAATCTACACTTGGAAAATCTTGGAAGGAATGGTCCAAATCTGCACACAGAAATCACTCCTCGAAAGTAAAAGACTGGGCAGGCGATGCAAAAGGGCCGCCAATAAAAAGTAGGGGCGCCATTGGTACACAAAGAGGAAAACACCATAAGTGTCCGGGGCCCAAAACTGTTCAACAGCCCCCCATCAAGCATTAGGGGAATTGCCAATAAACCCCTGGCTGCCTTCAAGAGAGAGCTGGACAGATACCTAAAGTCAGTGCCGGATCAGCCGGGCTGTGGCTCGTACGTCGGACTGCGTGCGGCCAGCAGTAACAGCCTAGCTGATCAGGCCCTGATCCATCGGGAGGCCTGGTCGTGGACCGGGCCGCGGGGGCGTTGATCCCCGGAATAACCTCCAGGTAACCTCCAGGTAACCCTAGTCTACCTCAACTCTCCCTACCCTAGTCTACCTCAACTCCTCTCTCCCTACCCTAGTCTACCTCAACTCCTCTCTCCCTACCCTAGTCTACCTCAACTCCTCTCTCCCTACCCTAGTCTACCTCAGCTCCTCTCTCCCTACCCTAGTCTACCTCAGGTCCTCTTCCCTACCCTAGTACTCACTCCTCTCTCCTACCCCTAGTCTACCTCAACTCCTCTCTCCCTACCCTTTGTCCTAAACCTCAACTCCTCTCTCCCTACCCTAGTCTACCTCAATCCTCTCTCCCTACCCTAGTCACCTCAACTCCCCCTTCCCTCCCTTAAGTCTACCTCAACTCCTCCCCCCCTACCCTAGTCTACCTCAACTCCTCTCTCCCTACCCTAGTCTACCTCAACTCCTCTCTCCCTACCCTAGTCTACCTCAACTCCTCTCTCCCTACCCTAGTCTACCTCAACTCCTCTCTCCCTACTCTAGTCTACCTCAACTCTCTCCCTACCCTAGTCTACCTCACATCCTCTCTCCCTACCCTAGTCTACCTCATCCTCTCTCCCTACCCTAGTCTACCTCACATCCTCTCTCCCTACCCTAGTCTACCTCACATCCTCTCTCCCTACCCTAGTCTACCTCACCTCTCTACCTACCCTAGTTTACCTCACCTCCTCTACCTACCCTAGTCTACCTCACCTCTTCTCTCCCTACCCTAGTCTACCTCACCTCTCTCCCTACCCTAGTCTACCTCACCTCTCTCCCTACCCTACCAACTAACATCTACCAAAACTTATCTCCCTACCCTTGTCTAACCGACCTTGTCTACCTACCCTAGTTCACCCGACCTTGTGACAACTGGCCGTGTTTACCTACCCTACCCTAGTGTATTCGACAAACTAGGCTCAGTTCATGAACTGCCTGAATGAATTAAAAAACAGGAATAAAATTGAAGTAGATCTATTGGCCAATAATTCAAGTCTAACGGTCATTCCCACTTATTATTATTGCATTTTGAATTGTTGAGCCCTTAAGGAACACAATGGGGAGCAATGAGGTTCCATCCGAGGAAGAGGAAGCTCAGTTCAATTCTTGTAGCTACTACAGTAGGTAACTCGTTGGAATGAAATTCAAATTATGCAACTATCGATATTTTACGCAGCGCAAGTCAACTATAAACATCACAATTACACCTGCAATTAAACCTTGTCCACAGGGACGATGTTTTAATATTTAAAGAAGACATTTAGCGTGTGGTAGCACATATTAATGGGGAGTGATCAAGTATGGTGGAGTAAGAGTGATGAGTCAAGGTTATGTGGCAGCTCAGCAATGATGGAGTCTGAATGTTGTACACTGGCGACCCTGAACTGTCCCGTCCCACCCACTCTCATACAACTAGCCACTTTATCAACCGTCTTGCCTTCACCATTTTTTCTACTCGTTAAAAAACATGTGATAGAACTTGAATATGTATAACAGGATGACTTGTAATGAAGAACTTACCTTGTCTTCCCACGATCTCGGCCACGTGCTCTGACGACGGCACAGCTACACACTCGGTCATATTTTGCGATCTTTTGGTGGAGGCTCTTTCAGCATCCAGACCTTGGACTACATAGTGCTCTGGTTCACTTGTGGGCACTGATGATTCGTTGTTTAATCCAATTAACGATAGTTCAAGGGCTAACTGCAGTGCCCTTTGTTCGTCCATTGCGGAGGTGGAGCTAGGAGTCGGTGTTGGCCGCTCCATTTCTGCGAACAAACTACTGGCTGGCATTGTAGACCAGTAAGGATATATCTTAACACTTTATCTCACGCCACCTTCAATCACTTCACAGTAACATCCACCAAGTTATAGGTGTGATGAGCCTTCTTACAGTATACCTTTCCAGCGGGGTGGGAGAACGCCAACTGAGTATGGCCGGAGCAGCATACACTTGTGTCAACCATCGTGGCTCCTCCCTCACCGCCATGCTCGCACCTTCATTGGCTCCTCCCTCTGCCGCATAGGCCTTGCTCTTGCACTACAATTTTTACATTGTTAGTCTTTTATTTTCCACTCTAATACGCACTTCTGAGTTTTGGTAAACGCTGAGCTAATTCGTAACGTGTATTTACATCTTTAAGCGTAAGAAATGTCGCAGATTATAGCGTACTTACTATGAATAAACCCAATAGTCAAACACAATTCCGTCACTGACAACTTGGTACGCTGTCCTCCTGATTGGCGCGTTTGAAATTCCCGCTCAGATCCTGAGTGAGTATATACCTGATTGCAGGAAATACTTTGTTCATTCACACTCCAGCATCTGCACTATCTGCATGAAACACGTGACACCCACTACACAATCAAACACAATGCTCTTCTTCCGTTGCATAAAAACGAGAGTGAGAGTGTGGTGTGTAGTTGAGAGTCTGGTGTAGGTGAGGTACATGCTGAGTGTAGGTCTAAGTCAAGCTACATGAGCCGGGACACGGCCTCGGGACACCCTGCTACATCAGCTGTTGTGGCTGCCATTGTAGTCGCCTAATTGTGTCCACAGGGGTTGAAGCATAGCTCCTGGCCCCCGACATTTATCTCCAAGCTCCAGTCATACTTAATTTTAAAGTCATGAGCTCCTGTCCTACACATAACTGTGATAAGAGTAGCATCAGTGACAAAAGGAAATCTAAAACATTAATAAAGGAGCGTGGAGTGACCGGAGATAGCAAGGCTAACTTAATTACTATTACTAAAAAAATATATATATAAAACAATACACAAATGTTACTTTTAACATGTTAGTGGCACTTTAAGATTAACATGTGGCCACTGGTGAACCCCAAACCACAGGTACAATGCCGCAGAGTTCTAAATTTATATTTTTTTCATATTGTAAAGTTTAGTCACAGGGTAATTTATCACTGACATTAATGTACATTTTTTAAATATTTATTTAATATATTGATCTTGACTGCATTCTAAATATGAGAGAAATATTGGGAATCGATTCGACCTTGAAGTTTGAGTAGTTTGCCTAGGTAAGTTCCACTCCCTCCCCCTCAATTAACACTTTGCTAAATTAAACCCTACGATTAAACAACCTAACTATTGCAGTAAGTCCTCAAGATTTTCGCTGGGTTATTTTTTCGTACCTAGAGTGAATGTAGATACCAGGCGAGATATAAATTTAGGTACAAATTAAGTCAGTGTTAGTAAGGCTTCTATTTTGGTGTGTGGCAGTGACTGTAGTGTGTGGCAGTGACTGTAGTGTGTGGCAGTGACTGTAGTTTGTGGCAGTGACTGTAGTGTGTGGCAGTGACTGTAGTGTGTGGCAGTGACTGTAGTTTGTGGCAGTGACTGTAGTTTTTGGCAGTGACTATAGTTTGTGGCAGTGACTGTAGTGTGTGGCAGTGACTAGTGTGTGGCAGTGACTGTAGTGTGTGGCAGTGACTGTAGTGTGTGGCAGTGACTGTAGTTTGTGGCAGTGACTGTAGTTTTTGGCAGTGACTATAGTTTGTGGCAGTGACTGTAGTTTGTGGCAGTGACTGTAGTTTGTGGTAGTGACTGTAGTGTGTGGCAGTGACTGTAGTTTGTGGCAGTGACTGTAGTTTGTGGCAGTGACTATAGTTTGTGGTAGTGACTGTAGTGTGTGGCAGTGACTGTAGTTTGTGGCAGTGACTGTAGTTTGTGGCAGTGACTGTAGTTTGTGGCAGTGACTGTAGTTTGTGGCAGTGATTGTAGTTTGTGGTAGTGACTGTAGTGTGTGGCAGTGACTGTAGTTTGTGGCAGTGACTGTAGTTTGTGGCAGTGACTGTAGTTTGTGGCAGTGACTGTAGTTTGTGGCAGTGACTGTAGTGTGTGGCAGTGACTAGTGTGTGGCAGTGACTGTAGTTTGTGGCAGTGACTGTAGTTTGTGGCAGTGACTGTAGTTTGTGGCAGTGACTGTAGTTTGTGGCAGTGACTGTAGTGTGTGGCAGTGACTGTAGTTTGTGGCAGGACTGTAGTGTGTGGCAGTGACTAGTGGTGGCAGTGACTGTAGTTTGTGGCAGTGACTGTTTCAGTGAAATTGAGTGGACTGTAGTTTGTGGCAGTGACTGTAGTGTTGTGGCAGTGACTGTAGTTTGTGGCAGTGACTGTAGTGTGTGGCAGTGACTAGTGTGTGGCAGTGACTGTAGTTTGTGGCAGTGACTGTAGTTTGTGGCAGTGACTGTAGTTTGTGGCAGTGACTGTAGTTTGTGGCAGTGACTGTAGTGTGTGGCAGTGACTAGTGTGTGGCAGTGACTGTAGTTTGTGGCAGTGACTGTAGTTAGTGACTGTAGTTTGTGGCAGTGACTGTAGTGTGTGGCAGTGACTGTAGTTTGTGGCAGTGACTGTAGTGTGTGGCAGTGACTGTAGTTTGTGGCAGTGACTGTAGTGTGTGGCAGTGACTAGTGTGTGGCAGTGACTGTAGTTTGTGGCAGTGACTGTAGTTTGTGCCAGTGACTGTGTTGTGTGGCAGTGACTTAGTGTGTGGCAGTGACTGTAGTGTTTTGGCAGTGACTGTAGTTTGTGGCAGTGACTGTGTGTGGCAGTGACTGGTTTGTGGACAGTGATGTAGTGTTTACATGACTTGTGTGTGGGCAGTGACTGTAGTGTTGTAGTGATAGTGTGTGGCAGTGACTGTGTGTGTGGCAGGACTGTGTCTAGCAGGACTGTATTGTTGACAGTGACTAGTGTGTGGCAGTGACTGTAGTGTGTGGCAGTGACTGTAGTTGTGGCAGTGACTGTAGTTTGTGGCAGTGACTAGTGTGTGGCAGTGACTGTAGTGTGTGGCAGTGACTGTAGTGTGTGGCAGTGACTGTAGTTTGTAGCAGTGACTGTAGTGTGTGGCAGTGACTGTAGTTTGCGTGCAGTGACTAGTGATGTTGTGGCATGACTGTAGTGTTTGATAGTGACTAGTTTGTGGCAGTGACTGTAGTGTGTGGCAGTGACTGTAGTGTGTGGCAGTGACTGTAGTGTTTGACAGTGATTAGTGTTTAACAGTGACTTGTGTGTGGCAGTGACTGTAGTGTTTGATAGTGACTAGTGTGTGGCAGTGACTGTAGTGCGTGGCAGTGACTAGTGTGTGGCAATGACTGTAGTGTTTGACAGTGATTAGTGTTTAACAGTGACTTGTGTGTGGCAGTGACTGTAGTGTTTGATAGTGACTAGTGTGTGGCAGTGACTGTAGTGTGTGGCAGTGACTAGTGTCTGGCAGCGACTGTAGTGTTTGACAGTGACTAGTGTGTGGAGTGATGTAGTGCAGTGGCAGTGACTAGTGTGTGGCAATGACTGTAGTGTTTGATAGTGACTAGTGTGTGGCAGTGACTGTAGTGTGTGGCAGTGACTAGTGTGTGGCAGTGACTGTAGTGTTTGATAGTGACTAGTGTGTGGCAGTGACTGTAGTGCGTGGCAGTGACTAGTGTATGGCAATGACTGTAGTGTTTGATAGTGACTAGTGTGTGGCAGTGACTGTAGTGTGTGGCAGTGACTAGTGTGTGGCAGTGACTGTAGTGTTTGATAGTGACTAGTGTGTGGCAGTGACTGTAGTGCGTGGCAGTGACTAGTGTGTGGCAGCGACTGTAATGTCTGACAGTGACTGTGTGGCAATGACTAGAGTGGCAATGATAGTAATGTTTGACAGTGACTAATGTGTGGCAGTGACTGTAGTGTTTGACAGTGACTAATGTGTGGCAATGACTGTAGTGTTTGACAGTGACCAATGTGTGGCAGTGACTAGAATGTGCAGACTAGTATGTGGCAGTGACTAGTATGTGGCAGTGACTTGTGTGTGGCAGTGATTAGTGTCAGTGCCTGTAGTGTGTGGCAGTGACTAGTGTGGCAGTGACTACAGTGTGTGGCAGTGACTACAGTGTGTGGCAGTGACTACAGTGTGTGGCAGTGACTACAGTGTGTGGCAGTGACTACAGTGTGTGGCAGTGATTGGTGTCAGTGTCTGTAGTGTGTGGCAGTGACTAGTGTGGCAGTGACTGTAGTGTGTGGCAGTGACTAGTGTGAGGCAGTGTGTGTCAGTGACGAGTGTGAGGAAGTGTGTGGCAGTGACTGTAGCGTGTGGCAATGATTAGTGTGTGGTAGTGACTGTAGCGTGTGGCAGTGACTGTAGTGTATGGCAGTGACTGTAGCGTGTGGCAGTCACTGTGATGAGCGACAGTGACTGTGATGTGTGACTGGTGTCTGTAGTGTGTGATGGTGACTGTAGTGTGACAGTGACTATAGTCTGTGTGGGACTAACTGTTGTGTGTGGCAGTGACTGGTGTATGGCAGTGACTAGTGTGTGGAAGTCACTGTGATGAGTGACAGTGACTGTGATGTGTGACTGTGGTGTCTGTAGTGTGTGATGGTGAGCAGTGTAACAGTGATTGTAGAGTATGACAGTAACTGGAGTGTGTGTGGCACTGACTGTGAGATCTCATATTAATTCCAGAAGCAACACAAATCATTGCTGTCTACACTAATATATAGACTTGTCACCAAACTCATCAAATATACACTTTGCCCACCGAATCATCGGGTGCTTTTCATCCTCAGTTTATGGTTTAGTTGCGAGTTGCTGCAGAAGTCATGTGATGATCTTCAAGAACTGTCAGAAAAATGTGACAATGAATGATCACGATTTAACATTGTCATTTTAAAACACACACAGGAGCAGTGAATCGACCCCTGCAACCACAAATAGGTGAATACAAATAGGTAAGCACACACACACACACACACACACACGCAGGAGCTGTGAATCGACCCCTGCAGCCACAATTAGGTGAGTACAAATAGCTAAATACACACACTCACACACACATCGTAAGTAACTTAATTTACGCACAAGTACACATAAGTACAATTATCATAGTGTAAATTACCTAGGATAACCTAAAAAAAGTCTAAGAGACTTATTGTGTGTTGCTATGTGTAGCGCATCTTGAGCGCTTCCTCATTA